ACTAATTATTGTCTAGACCTCCGTGAATACATAAATAAAGTTCACTGCTTCGTTATTTTTAGTAGCTTGGTTTTTATTCTATCAATACATCTAACTTCATCATTTATACCTTGTTTGTGGTGTCATGAAAGAGATCTGTTATTGTAGCTTGAATTGGGTTAGATCTATAAATCCATCGTGAATTTATGACCCCAACAATAATCTATTTTGACAAAACTGAAGACTATTACTTTCTGTACTATTTGTATTATAATTATAAATTAAATAAATTTTATAAGTGTAAAGATCTTATACTTATCAATCCACCCCCGTACGCTAATTACTAGTTTAACAATATACTTAATTTTTAAACAACTTGTTACTGATTAAAAAACTCATTACTAATGTTTACTAACGTTGACATTTACTTGCCCCATATAACCATTGACATTTTTTGTTAAGGGTCAAACCAAACAGCTACCGTGTTTGTACGCCTAATCCCTACGTCTTCACTGGCAACGCAACACTCAAAGTACATTAATTTTAAAAGTCCGCTCCTTCGTAATCTGAAAACTTCTTGAAATATGTAACCATAAAGCTCGTACAAGTTCGATAGTTACAGCTAAAGTAGACCATTTCTCTTTAAACTCTGAAAAATAGATAGCAATAATTGAATAAGCAGTGGCTCGGAAGGGTATTTGTGCATTTCCGTCGACTTTTCCAGACAACGCAACTTTATTGCATTAGGAACAATAAAATACTAACAACGGAAAAAGCAGACATTTTACACAACGGTTCTACGATTTTCAGACGAAGCCACACCATTAATCCTGGAGTGTGATATGCCATTTGTTACAATCCACCGAACTAAAGGAGAAAGCTTCACACTGAGGTTCGGTTTATCAAATAATTTACTGAGAAGTGAAATGTCAGTCTTGATTTAGTACAAATTCATCCGGGGTTCCTGAATTTTGGAGTAGGATATAAATAAAAAATGTATATCGATAGATACCATTTTGTCTCATACTTGATTTTAAGTAAGGTCGCTCCTTTATAACGACAAGGAATACTTTGCAGACAATAATCCTGATAACTGCGGAAAGAGAATATAATTTTTCCAGTCAATCTACAGAGAAAAAGCGAATTTGAGGTTGGTATAAATTGTTCTTTCTGTCGAAAAGAGCCTTGAAAATTTTTAATTTCGTTAATTTATTGTTAATTGTTTTCTAGCGCTATGACGTGAAAGCCACGACAGTACACAAATAAAAAGTACTACTATTGATTTTTTAACCTAGAAAATCATGCAATGAAGAGTCAGTATAAACTGTTCACTTCTGTTCCGAAGCAAATGGGATAAGTCAAGAAGTAAATACAAGTATTTTCTCTAGTTGTTACTTTTTAATTTTAAAATTGCTACAAATAAAAATTTTAAACGAATGATTTAGTTAATAGTTTTACAGGAAAATAATACTCATTTACGCTGCATCATAAATAAATGTTATTACACCTATTAAATTCGTAACGATCAACAGTTAAATGGCACGTTTTCAGTATATATAAATTAACGCAACCTACAAATACCAAAATTTTAAATTGAGAGAAATGGTGAGCTAGAAAATAAAAACTAAAAAAATTGGTTATTCCGACCAAACATCCCTCGCTTAACAAATCCCGCTTCTTTGCAAAAATTATAAAAATTCTTCAATTTTTCTTTTTTTTTGTTTCTTCAGTTTTTCGATTTTGCAATTTTTACAGTATTCAAATTAGAAATTTTCAGTTTTTCAATTTTCCAACTTCCCAAATTTTCAATTATTAAATTTTGCAATTTTTCGATTTAAAATTTCTTGACTTTTCAATTTTTAATTTTTTAATTTTTCAATTATTGCATTTTTCATTTCTTCATCTTTTGTTTCGGTTTTATTATTTTTTTTATTTGTACAACTTTACGATTTTTCAAAAATTCGCTTTTATAAATATTTATTTAGTCAATTTGAATTTTTTCAATTTTTCATTTTTTCAATTTTTGGATTTGCAATTTTTCAATTTTTGTTTTTGTTTCTACAATTTTACGAAATATACTAACTCTTCGAGTTTTCATTTTAAAATTTTTCAATTTTTCCAACATAATGTAATGTAATTTTTACGCAATTTCAAGAGTGTTCAGTTTTTAGTTTTTAATTTTTCGATTTTTCACTTTTTGATTTCTTCATTTTTCAATTTGTAATTTTTCGTTTCGGTTTTTTATTTTCTTTATTTTATCAATTTTTATTTAGATGTTCCGTGTTTATAATTTTTCGGTTTTCAAGTTTTTGGTTTTTCATCATTTCCCTTTTTCAGTTCTGAATTTTTCAGTTTCTCGATTTTTCAATTTTTTATTTGCAATTTTTCTTGTTTTCATTTTAAATACATATGTAATAATCCTTACATTTTTTTAAATTTTTTATTTTTCAATTTTACAATTTTAGAATTTATTCCATTTTTTGCTTATTGGATTTTAAAACTTTTCGATTTATTCGATTTGTCAATTTTCCAATTTAAATTTATGAGTTTTCCGATATTTAATTTTTCGATTTTACAATTTTTGGGTTTTCCAATTTTTCGATTGAATGTTTTTTTTTTCCCAATATTTCAATTCATTATTTTTTTTCGATTTTTAGTTTTTCAATGTTTCAATTTTTCAACTCTTCAGTTCTTCGATTTGCAAATTTTTCACTTTCCACTTTTTCGATCTTGCAATTTCTCGTCTTTTCAGTTTTTTGATATTTCAATTTTTTCCAATTTTTTGGTTTCTCCATTTTTAATTTTTCAATTCTTCCTTTTTTCAACTTTTCAAATAAAAAAAAAGAAACATTCCAAATTGTAACATTGAAAAATCAAAAATGAAAAAACGAAAAAAGTATAAAATGAAACCTTGCAAAAATCTAAAAATTGGAAATCAAGAAGTTGAAAAATTGAATAAACGAAAAATTGAAAAATCGAAATGTTGAAATTTGAAGAAACTGGAATATTTTCCAGTTTCTTCAAATAATAATTGAGAAATTCAAAAATTGCAAAATTGAAAAATTAGAAAATCGATGAAACGAAAACTCAAATATTGAAAGTTTCAAAAACTGTATAAACGAAAAATTATAAAATCGAAAGAAACATTGAAAAAATACAGGAAATGAAAAAAACGGAACACTGTGATATAAAATCGAGAAAATGGAAATTAAAAATCGGGAAAATGAGAAATAAAATTCAATCACTTGAAGAATTGAGGAAACGTGACATTGAAGAATCGAAAAATTAAAAAATTGAAAAACTGAAAAATCGAAAAATGAAAAATTGTAATGTTAAAAAATTGCAAAATTGAAAAATTGCAAATCAAAATATTCAAGAAATAAAAAATAGAAAAATTGAAAAAATCAAAGTTGAATAAACGAAAAATTAGGAAACCGGAACATTGAAAATGGAAAAATTTAAAATAAAGAAAATGAAAGAACGAAAAATCGTGATTACAAAAAATTACAAAAGCGAAAAAAGGAGAATTGAAAAATTGTGTTACAAAAAATTGGTCAAAAGTAAATAAATCCACATTTTTCTAAAAACTAAAAAATTTGTTTTTGCGAATTTTATTTTTTTATGATAACCCTTATAAGTTAAAATAAACTTACGTTAAGTTAAAGTTAATGGTTCTTGATTTTAATCAATGCAATAAATTTCCTCATTTATGATTTTTTTTAGTATCGTGGTAAGTAATTCTAAAACCTATGAGTGCATTATAATTCACAAAGATAGTAATAAAATTTTGCAGAGATCATTTATCGGCAAAATTTTGAGATGACCTCATCAATTTTTTTGAAGGGGATAAACGAATAAATTTTGATAGACGATTCGCCATAATTACGATAGCCATAAAACGTTTGTGAAATTTCGAAGCATTCATTTTTCAGTTTCAAAGTTAAATTGCAAAATGGTGTAACACAATTTTGATTTTTTTTTTACAAAAATCTGGATCTCTAGGGTAAAAACTGAACACGGATTCATAAACCACATTTATTTAATGATTGAAATCTTGGAGCTGACTTCCTCCTATTGTTGGTGAGGATGTTTATCTAAATTTTGATTACCGTTTTGCCATCGACACGCTGTTCCTTATGCATAGATAAAATTTGACACAATCGGTCCAGTAGTTTCGGATATTATCTAACTAATAATAATTCGGACAGACGGCAGACGGACAGAAAACTTAAAAGTGGTCAGTCGTCCAGTTGACTCGATTACAGTACTTCCCTAACTTATGCTCAGGAAGTAAAAATGAATAAGGTAAAGTGGCTTTTACATAGTCGTTGTCTTATTTCACTAGGGGCTAAATTTTCTGAAGTATTACATATTTTTGTCACTATTTTGTCACTATCACCCACAAATTAGTGAGCGGTAATAATTTAAAGTGGATAGACCAATGGATGTAATATTTTTTTAGTGTGAAATATAATATGGACAGTAACAAATTCAGATTGAACAGTCAAAATTAAATATACTTAATAATAAAATGTTCTGCTAAACTTTGCCAATAATAATTTTATTTGTTTATTATTTTATGTATGGGTATCAAGATTTAACTTTATCAATGAACAATCCATTTACTCTTTAAGACCAAACTTAGAGCTATCATAAGCATAGTTTTTCTCATTTTTAATGGTTGAATTTCTAATTTTTCACAGGAAAAAACTCGCGAAGTTAGAGATAATCAAAACTATGGAAGTTATGGACAATCAAACTTTCTCTTGAAAACACATACTATGTTGATGAAACTAATCGAACTTTTATCAGAACTCAAAATAAGCTCCCGACAACTGAAACACACCGGAATTATCGATAGCGAGGAACATAGACAACGTTACGGCACAGTAAACTCTACGAATGTTAGTGATTCATACTTTTATTCCCTTTGTTCCTGTTTTCATAGAAACGTTTCAAAGAATAGTTGTAAAACAGAAAGAGAGGAGATAAAGTAAGAGAGAAATGGTTAAATGACTCACCTTTAAAGGAAAATAAAATTCTTTAAATTTTAGATGAACATCAGTACTACTGGAATACAATAAATTTTTTCCTCCATGTTCGTTTAATGATCATAGTGCAGCCCCTGTTGATTTTAATGTTCCAGATTCGTTAAAAGTTAATCATAATTTTAATATTTCTAATGATATCTCTAATAATCTTGATATGAATTCCACACCATCTGTTAATCTATCCAATTGCAATGTTACTTTTAATTTTCATTCCAATTAAAATGTTCCAAATAAAACAAAACAAATATTGGTCGTAAATAATTTAATGATCGCAGATAAAAATTCGTATTTTACTCGACGATTATCAACTAATATTGCTCTCGAATGCAATACAATAATAGTTTTATAATATGCTCATTAAATAATATACTCGTACTAGGAGTATAATGTGATGGTTAAGCCTATGCCTGACTAAGTATGTTCGAAAAAGATTTTATTTTTTATGGTCGATGCCCCCCATGTTTGCTCCATTTGTACCGTTTAATACAATATGCAGAAGTTGTGTTTTGTTATCGTTCGGCGTGCTTCTCATATGTCACAGGACAAAATAACGAGTGGTGGAAATGTACAGCTAAAATAACATTGTAGTCTCAAATGAATATTGCAAGCACTCGTCACAGGCATTATATTTATACTTTAGAGATAATAAAATTACCTACGTTATAATTACTTCCTCAGAGAATATCCGAGGGAATGCTTTCCGAGTTTTAATAACTTTAAACTCTAATGCATACACACTAGTGGATAATTACCGTCTGTCTGGCTGTCTGTCGCCTGTTGGCGACTCTATTAGACGAATAGTTGTCGAATTTAGTGGGTAGAATACTGTACTGAGTAATAATTATATGTATTTTTATTGATTTAATCAATAATGGCTAGCCCTATTTTTTCGAAAATTTGAAAATACTGTAATGTTGCGCCCACCTATATTTAATAACAATAAAATATGGCTTGTGTTTTCTTATATTCCTATATTATACCATGACACGAACAAAAATTCAACAACAAAACAATAATCTATGATGAACATGTAATTTTTTTTTTCATGTTAACCTCGGACCTCGTTTCTCTTTCGACACACAAATCAGTCTCGTCAAGAAAAAGCGATTAAGGCCCTCGCTACGTAAGTGGCCGTTTCGATTGTTCTATGACATAATGAATAAATCAAAATAAATCCTTCAGCATCAAAAGCATGTGTATGTATTAAGCCCGAAATTGCCACCGACACATTAATAAATTCTCACAAGCAGTCTGCAACCGGCATGAAGATCTGACAGAAAACCGCCCGAACAACAAGAGAACACTGATTTCATGGCATGAACTATAACAGCTGCCAATTACAAATCCACATCACACAGGTCCAGGCTGCAAATTTCCATTTTCCATCTTTCCTTAATGTAGGAACTCCCGAACGTCCTTCACATTATTACAAACTGTCGTTCCTTTTCCTCCCTAATGAAATTCATGAAAATCACTCGATTCTTTATTGAAGTCACATCAACATACCCACACGCAATTTCCTCCGCCTTGAAAAATTCACAATTTCACTTATTTATTGTGGTTATTCCTAACCGGGAGGTCACGTGCCAGTCTACTTTTCGGTGGATTTATTTTTAATAAGTTGACGACAATAGCGGGAAAAGAGGGCGACAAATGCTGACCGTTTGGCCTACGAAAGCAGTGGGAAATGTCCGATTAGCGACAAGGGAATTAAATTTTTTAAATCTAGGACAGGAGGCTTTAAAAAATCACGTGCCTGATCTGAATTCGCTAGGGTGGCATAGGACAAATGAGACCAGAGGGACTAACGGAATTTTGTTTAGATTGGAAATTTACGTTCTAGTTTAGCAGTAAAGTAGGTGGCAACTGGAAATGTTCTTTCATATAATTTTATTGCTGGTTTTTCAACCAATGAAAGTTTATCTACTTGTTTATTAGATATTTAAATCATTCTTGAACTGTTGTGTGGGCACCGTTAAACAGTAGATCGTCCAAATTACGCAAATGTGTCTTTGTGTATCGAAATACAATGATATTTTAACGATTTATTAGAGTCTACACAAAAAAAAAACTGTATCAGGCACCATCAACAGTTTTGAACCTTTGTGTAGCGCCAGGGATGAATCACATTATCGTGTACTGTAGTGGGATTCATTTCAACTGTTTAGGCTTCTAATGCATGCCTGAAAAAAATCTTCCATGCAGTCTAACTTTCTCCCTCTCTCCAACATATCCTACACCTTCTGTTAATTTCATCCATCCAAAAATTATTCCCCTTCTCTATATTTCCACACCTAAATCTCGCCATCATTATTTTCTCCTTTATACTCTCTCTCTCTGTGTACTTTGGTACTTCATCCTTTACTATTTTTCTATACTCTGAATTATATCTAGACTCCGATATTCTCCATCTGCGTCCTTGCTAATCTATATCCATATCTCTTACACTCAGTTCTTCTTTCATACTCCTTCCCGTTACTCTCATTCTACCTATTTCTTCACATGCATATCCCTTTCCTTCATAATACTTGTCTCTTTCGTTCCAAACATCTTTTCCCCCTTCCTTTCTTATTTCTTTCCAACATTCTTGCGATATTTTACAATTACCTCTCTCACTGAACTTCTCTTCAAATCCAACGTCCCTTTTACCCGCTTCCACTCTCATTTTCTCCCTTTTTGTTTCTTCTCTCACTATATACCCCGGAGTATACTTTTCCAATTCCAATGTCCATTTTATGTATTTTTCTTGCGCTCTCTCTATTTCTTCATATTCCCTCCATCCCCAAATCTCAACTCCGTACATAAATACACTTTTGATCAAACTATCAAACATCACCATTCTTCTCTTATAATCATGTCCAAATTTTCTCTCTCCTATTCCCCATTCTATTCCTATCACTTTGTTCGCTTTTCGGACCATTTCTTAAATATGCGCTCTGTCTGAGTTATGCTCTTTAATGTATATCGCAAGTACTGGAATTCTTTCATCTGTTCAATCTTCTTCTCTCTCCATGCCCACTCTTCCCTCTCTTTTCATACTTTCTTTCCAAACACCAACATTTTTGTTTTTTCCACATTCACATACAATTCCTTTTTTTTGTACGTACTTGTCGAAACACTTAATCATTGTTTTCATTTCTTCTCTTTTCTTTGCCACAATCACCAAATCATCTGCGTACACCAACGACCACACTTTCTCTTTGCCATCCTTGTTTCACTCCTCTATTTGTATAAAGACTCTCGCTCTCTATTCCATTCACTCTCACCTCACTTACTGTTTCTTCATATATTTCTTCCATTTTCGTTACCAGATACTCACCTTCTCCCTTTCTCCTCAAATATTCCCACATTTTCTCTCTATTCACGCTATCAAACGCTGCTTTGAAATCTATGAACAATGCGTACATTCGTCCACTCTCTTTCCTTATTTCTCTTCCCACTAAATGCCGCAGGATGTACACATTATCCACAGTACCTCTTCCTTTCCTAAACCCTGCCTGACCGTCTAGTAACATACCCCTTGCTTCCATTTCCTTTCGTAACCTCTCATCTAGTATCATTGTGTATATCTTGTACGGCGTATTGAGCAAGGTGAACCCTCGGTAGTTCTTCACACCATTTTTTTGCCCCTTTTTAAATAACGGGATTATTATACCTTCTCTCCACTGCCGAGGACACCCTTTTCCCTGCCAAACTCCTTCTACCACTTCCCATATCCTTTCGTTCACTCCTTCTGTCCCGAACGTCCACGCTTCGTTCTGGATTCCTTCCCCTCCAGGTGCCTTTCCTCTTTTCAGTCTTTCAATTTGTCTTCCTATTTCATCTTCTGTTATTTCCGCACCTCTTCACATTTTTTCCGTCGTTGTGATTCCTTTATTTATTTTGCAGCATTTTTCCTCACAACCTCCTAATAATTTCATAAAGTGTCTTTTCCATTCATGTATTTTGATTTTCCTACTGAGTTCAGTCTTCCTTCTCCGTTCCTTGTTTATATATTTCCATATTTCTTCTTCTGTTTTCAGGGACTTTATTATATTATCTTCTTCTTCTTCTCGTTTTTCTCTTTTTCTTTCTTTACATATTCTCCTATAATTCTCTCTTGCTTTTAAGTACTCTTCTTTCCTTCCCCTGTTATTCTTCCATTTTTTAATTTTTCCCTTGCTTTTCTCTTCTAGTGGCATGTGGTCTGATTCTACCCTTTATCCCACTTTGAAACTCTCTATTTCTTCTCACCCCTCTTCGTTGACAATCTCGTAGTCTATAATGGATTCTTCCCTAGCCCCTACGTACGTCCATTCGCCTTCTTCACCTCCTTCCTTGTTTTCATTCAAAATTTCCCATCCCATTTCTTCTATTATCTTCCGTAATATGTTCCCTTCTTTGTTATTTGCTTTGTCTTTTGATGTTTGATGTTTGATGTTTATTAACGGTCAAAAAAAAACCAATTACAATAATAAAAACATACAAAAGTTACAACACTATATTAAAATCTTCCTGTGGATCGATGATTTAAACCTGGTGTAAGAAATTCCCACAAACTCATATCAAACATTATTCTTCTCTTAGAAAGTAACGTAAGCCCAAAATAACTTATTATCATAGTATAATTATAGTTATTGAAAAATATATTGAACTCATAGCACGGAAATTTGACGAATTTTTTTTGAATTTTTTCAATTCTTTGACTGTGCATCTTATAATAAGGAGACCATATAGTAACACCGTATTCGAGGATCAACCTTACAAAAGATGAAAACAAAACAATAAAAGATCTAAGATTTGTGAACTCACTACAGGTTCTTTTTACTAATCCTAACATTTTATTTGCTTTAGAAATAATATTATTTATGGGAAAAGTAAAAGAGAGTTTACATCAATAGTAATTCAAAAACTGGTCACATTTTCAAGAACAATAGAAGACAATGTATAATTATAATGTTCAAAACATAATTTGCGACTAAATCTTCAAACCTTACACTTAGGTATGTTAAATTCTAGTCCATTTTTCTTACACCAAAATTCTAAAAAGTTCAAATCAGATTGTATCATATGACAATCAGAGGGGCAAGTAATT